GGAACCACTGACTGAGCTGCAGCAATCGTCCACTCTTAAGGGCTTGACATGGTCGTCTTGGAGAGTGGTAATTTTGGCCAGGGAGGTACCCTGTATTAGAACTTGGGTGGTGAGTGAAAAGTTGACCAGTGGAAGGAAGGTGCGATTCTCGTAATTGTCAGAATCATATGCGGCACAGCAACCCCATGCGAAAACATCACGGCAGGAATCGGGGTCACCATGTAATCACCGTCAGGTACTGGCAGTGTAGAGGATAAGTTGACATGATGTGGAAATATATGAGCGCACAAGGTAGCAGGAAAAGCACTGGATAGGAAAGACGCTCAATTACAACTGAACTTTTATTAGAAACCTTGTGCGCTCATATATTTCCACATTGTGTTTTACCAACTGGCCCAGCATTCCACTTTATTAAGTTGACATGTGTGACAGAGTTAGGCGGTAGGCGCGTGAAATCAATGCAGCAGAGGCTGATTTGCGGTGGAGTGGTCGGGTCGGAAAAGAGAGGTAAATCGAGATGGAGAGAGCCAGCTGAACAGTCTGAGGGCAGAGTGCGTGGCTAGAAAATCTATACCAAGAATGAGGTCATCAGGGCAATGTTTGATAACGGCGAAAAGAACGACAGTGCTTCTCTCCCCAATAGAAATTCGCGCAGAGCACATGCCAAGAATTGCGGCAGTTCCTCCATTGGCGACTCGTACAGCTCGGTTGAGGGCGGGCGCGACAACTTTTTTAAGTCGGCAGCGAAGGTTAGCACTCATAATGGACACATGCACGCCAGTATCTATCAATGCACTGACACGAACATTGTCGACAGTAACATCCAAAAGGTTCCGGTTCGTTGTTAACGTTAATCGAGGATTTCTTACGAAGGTCGTCAACGCCACTCCACCTCCAGAAGCTGCACGGCCTAGTTTTCCGGTCGGAGATGCTGCGAATAGGTCGGGGAGGCAGCACGGCACTGTGGGGGTGACCGGGACTGACGACGAGCAGGGGAAGGTGACCGGTCGTAGGGAGGTCTGCTCAGAGGTGCTCTAGGAGCGGAAAATGTGGTCGGCGTTGATGGAGAAAGTGATGGGGACGACTGGCGAGCAGAAGTGGTGTGATACTGAGGTGCATAATGGGACGGTGGAGCCCAGCGGCTGCGGCAGTGACGAGCGATATGACCAACGCGTCGACAGTTAGAACATATGGGCCTGTCATCAAGAGTACGCCATTCGGCCGGATTGCGTTGTATGCGAGGTGCAGAAGGGGTACGATAAAAAGGCTCAGCAGAGTATACAGTAGGAACAGGATGTAGGCCGACATTTGATAGCTCTCGACGAACGACGGCTTGTATCAAAGAGATCGTGATCGAGGAAGGTGTAGGCGTCGGTAATGGCGTGGCTACCGGTTGTGCTGCCTTGACCTCTCGACGAATGATGCGTGTGAGGTTGTCACATCGAGGAGCCTGGTGGAAGGAGTTGTCACACGAAGTAGCCGCTGTGTTCGAAAGGCGCACCATGCTTTGCGCTACACGGCGGGCTTTAGCTTGTTCGAGACGTCTGCATTCTTTAAGGATGGTGTCGATACTCGAGACGTTGTTAAAAACCAGCAGGTTGAAAGCATCGTCGGCAATGCCTTTCAAGACGTGGTTAATCTTTTCGTCTTCCGACATGCGCTGGTCGGCCTTGGAACAAAGGGCCAAGACGTCAACAATGTAGGAGACATATGATTCGGTAGACAACTGAGCCCGTGTGGCAAGAGCCTTCTTCGCAGCAAGCGGACGACCAGATAAATCGCCAAACAGGTCGCGGATCTTTTCTTTGAAGAGATCTCGGCTCGTTATGTCGGCTTCATGACTTTCAAACCATGTTTGGGGAGTGCCGTCCATGTAGCAAAGCACGTTGGCGAGCATGAGCATGGAATCCCAGCGGTGAGTAGCACTGACGCGCTCGTACCGGTTCAGCCAAGTGTCAAGATCGATCGTATCATCACCGGAGAAAGTGCTGGGATTCTGGAGGTGCGAGAGTGTGACATAGGTGGTGGCTTGCACTGATGAGGGCGGCGTAGAGGAAGTACCAGCAGTCGAAGGGTCGCCGATGATGCGACCACTGCGCGTCTCCATCGAGGTACGGGGGTCGTCTACCTCCACCAATAATGTTACGAGTAACTTTTTTAATAATCTCTTTACAACGCACAGAACTCGACAAGCAAAGATGGCGGCAGTCCAGCATCAAACAAAAGCTCACTTCGTCTTCCTCTTTCATGCAGCCGCGTTTAGCGGCTGTTATGTATCAATATTTACCTTCAAAATTGTTTAATATGATTACCTCAGCCATGAGGGAGTTGAAGTTAGGCAGTCATGATATTTTTAAAATACTTAAATGAGTTGTGAGATACAAATCATAAGCAGTGGCTCTCAATAGGGAAGACTATGTAATTATATTTTGCCATTGGGTAGGTCTCTAACCATATACTGTCAACCCATTACGAAGCATTCTTGAAGGTAATGCATAAGTTGTAGCTTTCTGATTGTAAAGTTGCAAGTCCTATGTAGCATTCTATACGATTAAAAAAAAAAAAAAAACACCAGTCAGTTTATTTGGTCGAAATAATCTGTCCTACACATGAGATCATGAAAATGTAAACACATATATTTTAAAAACTAATACCCCTGTCACATGGCCACCACTGAACTCTGTTTAACTCCGTCAACGTAGATCTCTCCTAGGGAGTTCGACGAAGATTGAGTTGTAGGAGTGTCACACGGCAATGGCAAGGTTGCCATAGTTGCCATGAGGGGGCTCAGCCAGCGCTGTTGGGTTTTCGCAGAAGTATCCTAATTTCATGTCTAGATGCTTTTTTGTGAATCTTCGTTATGCCGTTTTTACAAAAACTCAATATTGAGTAGGTCCGAAGCGAACATAAAATTAAAAGTATTTCAAATGAAAACGCATTCGCTAAATGGAGCAATGATGGCAGCGACGATGGCCACCTTGTGCACAATGGTACGTTTGTTTACATTGCACCGTTCTCGACGAATAGTTGTTTTTGTAGCCCGTGTATTAAAGTTACTGTGTTTTCTGCTATCGTGGGGGCACTTCAAAGTTGCCCTTGAATTAGGTCGGGTCCCATTACCCATTCCTGCAGCCATCGAAGCAGGTGATGATAATGCAGCGCTGCCAGACAAACATGGCGACGATAACAACCACACGCATGGACGAAATATTTTTGAATGGTGGTGCCCGGCCCGACTGGCAAGGCACGGTGTGGAGGGCATCGGTGTGGAGAATAGCTGCACTCCGGCAAGCGTATACATATATGTAAACAAACACGTTATGAATGAGTACTGAAACAAAAAAAAAGTTTAATGCCAAAAGGTATTATTGTACTCACTGTGGCAGTTTGGCGCTCGAAATTTTTTCTTACCTTCAGATACTGGGGACGAGAGTACCTCGTTCCGCTGCAAAGGGAGATCGTGGAACACCCTTTGCGAAATGCTCTGTTTACCTTCGTTTGCGTAAGGGTGGCCGTGTGACACAGACCCCATCTCCTTTGTTGTAAGGGCAAGGGAGTTAAACGGTGTTCACGGGTGCCCGTGTGACAGGGGTATAAATATATTTAAGAGGTGTGCACACACACAATGAACAGTGAGGTTTGATTGATCTGAGATTGTGTATGTATGACACCTGTGTGAGGTCATAAAGACCCGTAGAAAAGGCTTATCTGCAATTTTATGCCTATGTGAGGCAAATCTAGTAGCTACTACCTGCAGTCGTATGTTTAGATACTGAGGGATGTTAGGTTTTTAGCTTTGTATTGAATCATAGCTGTGCTTTTGGCTTTGTAAATGTTAACGTTGGCCGAAGTGCTTGTTTTTTTTATTGTAAATTTGAACCTATTTGTCCAGAATGCTTATCTACAGTCTCTGTATCATGCAGTGAATGCACATGAAGCTTGTGGGCATCTAATTAAGCTTGTTTGATCACATACAGAGCTGCCATGGTAGTACAGTGGTTACGGTGCTTGACTGCTGACCTGAAAGTTGTGGGTTATCATCCCAGGGGGCAGCAGTTGCGTTTCAATGGCGGCAGTATGCTAGAGGCCCGTGTGCTTACATTTAGGTGCAACCCTAGGTGGTCAAAATTTGAGCTCCAACTACACTACAGCATGCCTCATAATTATGTAAAGGATAGAATTTTCAAGAGCTCATTTTAAAAAAAAGTAATTTATTTATACTTTAACCCTCATGCAGGGCTATAACAGAGAGGACAATACAATTGTATATACAAAAAAATGAACTAGGCATGTTAATAAGGAATGCCTAGCAAATCGCAAAAAAATCTGATATTTCCTTGAATACTATTGACAACCATACCTTGATGAATACCAATACTGAAGCCAAAGATAGGATAGGGTACTTTTATTTGAACTCTTTTCAACTGTAGTGTAGCATTGTAGTGTCTTTACTACAGTGTAGCTTAAAAGACTATAATAACTTTTATGCTTTTCTTGGATTCATTGTCTCCTGGTTTTTATTAAGGTTTTGTTATAATCATATTGTGGTTTTGGCATGTAAAACATTAGAAATTTATTATTATTATTATTATTATTATTATTATTATTATTATTATTATTATTATTATTATATCATTATTATTATATTATGTTAATTTTTGATCACTTGAAACTGGCATAGGTAGCGTAGTGTGTCTGACACTTTTGCTACACTCAGGTACAGGTAAAGAAGAAAGCGTCTTTTCTCTGTCAATGAACTCCCATCCAGCCAATAGTGTCATGGCCACTTTGTGACATGCTTTGACACACTGCTTCGTGATTCCTTATGTGAGCATGGCATGAAGGCTGTCTGCCATGAGGTCACGATGACATGGCGGTGCCATTCGTTAAAGGGGGGGGGGGGGGGTCTGTTGAGGGCCTTTTCTTCTTGGCTTGTATTCAAGTATAGCAATGGAGTGTGTCACGTAAAAGAAAGCTCACGTGTATGATTATTCTTGCAGCCCCAGTAAAGGCGTGAAGCACCTGGAGGCACAGATCAAACACTCGGGCTATTTGCTTGGATGCCAAATAACAGCAAGGTTGAAGAGGATAGTGAGGCCACCGTAGGGTTTGAGTGCCCTTGAGCAAGTGGAAGTAGTATGGCATCCGCTGAGGAGCACCAGGAACTTGCAGTTGGCAGCAGTGGTGCAAGTGATTGTGAGTGCTCTGCTACTGGCAGCTTAGCTGGACCACTGTCACCTGAAGCACCAGGGAGTGCGCTTGAAGGTAGGATGTGCATGATGTCTGTCATGACATGTCTCAAGATCATAGCAAAGCTTTAAATGTAATCCACACTGGTAGCTCAGTGGCTGAGGTATTGGACTGCTAAGTTCGAGGATGTTAGTTAAGTTCCTGGCCATGGCTGCCACATTTGGTAGAACAAAAAAATCCCGTATGCTTATTAGGTTTAGGTGCACATTGTAGAACTATAGATATTCAAAATTAATCTTCAACATTGCACTGCCGCATGCCTTATAATCATATGGAATTTTTCATGTAGAATTCTGTGAATTAGTATTATTGTTCAGCTTCAAATGTGATGTAAGAAGGGAAGGGGCTTACTTGGGGTCCAAGCCAAGGAGCATTATATGCTCTGCAATTGCTCTCATGGTGTCGGGAGAGGAATTTATCTACCTCCCTCCTCAAGAGTAGTAGGACGAAAATCGATGGCTAGCTGAGCGAGGCCAGATTGCTTTACTGCATAGTTCCCAGGACACTCATAATATGAGGCTTGTTAGAAAAGTATCCAATCTTTGGTGGAAGAAAAAAAACTGGCATAATTCGAGCATTGGAAACTGAATCCCCCTTAACCCTTTGATGGATGATGGGACACATAGGTCCCACTTTTTGAGTTGTCGTTTTTTCGCTCTAAAATGCTTACACATGAATTAATATTCGAAATTGTCATATGGCGCCATCTATGATACCTTGTGCAAAACACTCTATGCAGTTTTCTGTCCGTGTCATGAGGTGGAGCTGGAGGCGCTCCTGTTACATTTTGTTGTGTTCTTGTGCTCGTGTCTCGTCAGTTTGCGCCTGTTTTTGAAGCTAATTCAACGACAGATACATGTCTGGTAAGTGAAATATTCGCTTCTTGCACTACGGTATTGCTTTGAGAAATACAATTGCCTATAAAAGTTACCCTACGTTACGAAAAAACCTTTGCATGTATGAATCTCGTGTAACACGTGCGTTTTGGCGCCCGCAGGCTTAGGCTTATTGAGTCGAGTGCGTACACTGGCGTGATAACGGTGCTGAATCGGCTGATTTCCTTCTCCCACGCAGGAAAACAAAAATGCCTGAGCCCAGAGGAAGCTCTAGAACTGTTTTTCAGTTTACCGGACAATTGCAATGACAGTACAGATGAGTACTGCGAAAGTTCTGAAGACGAAGAGTTTGTGCTTGCCCCTCATGAAAGCAGCGAGGAGGACGACACTTTGCCGCCGCTACCAGGGCCGAGTACAAGCAAACGCAAAGGAATCCGACGCAAACACTACGTTGGAAAAAGAAAAAAACAAAAGAAATCGAAGAAGCCTTCCGAAGAGCTTGATGACAAGACTGTGGACAACCAGTGGGACTCATCCAAATTTGTTGCCACAACTCCTACAAATTGCAGTGCACTTGGATCTCAGAAGCTTTCGCAGAGAAGCACTGTACTTGAAACATTCTCTCTGTATTTTGATGACGATGTTATGAAGCATATTGTCGATCAAACCAACCTATACGCAGCACAAACAAACCGCGCAGGATGGACGGCACTGACATGTTTAGAGCTTCGTGCTTACATAGGACTGCTTGTTCTGATGAGCGTCAATCGCATGCACCACCTGCAAATGTATTGGTGCTCGGACAGCTTCTTTCATGTAAAGGAAATCGCGCAGGTGATGACGTACAAACGCTTCCAGCTCATAACAAACTGCCTTCACCTGAACAACAATGACCTCATGGCGGATTACGGCACAAAGGACTACGATCGGTCCTACAAAGTTCGACCTTTGATGGACATGATGAACGAGAGGTTTCTGGCTAACTACACGCCATCCAGTCATCTCGCTGTCGACGAGAGCATGATACTGTTCAAAGGGCGTTCGAGCATGAAACAGTACATGCCCATGAAGCCTAAAATCAAAAGGGGCTACAAAGTTTGGTCTCTCGCGGACTCCGAGACTGGTTATCTCCTGAAGTTCCAGCTCTACGAAGGAAAGAGCGCACACAAGCCAGATGACGTAACCTTGGGTGAACATGTTGTTTTGACCCTGACCGATGGCGCCGTGCCTGCTGGCTCACAGGTATTTTTTGATAATTTTTTTAGCTCTACGAAATTACTTCAAGTGCTTCGGGAAAAAGACATTCTTGCTTGTGGTACATTTCGCGTCAACAAGAGGGATCTACCTCAAGTAGTCAAAGAAAATAACAAGCTCGAGAGAGGGTCCTACATTTGGAGAAGAAAGGCAGAGGTGGTCGCCTATCAATGGAGAGACTCAAAGAATGTGCACCTTATGTCAAACTACCATGACCCAGAAGACCGTGTGCAGGTGCATCGAACACTCCAAAATGGCAAGAAAATGGCAGTTGAGTGCCCCTCTGTTGTGAAAGACTACAACACGTGGATGGGAGGTGTCGATAAATTCGACCAGAAGAGAAACGCCTACCCCGCAGACCGCCGATCAAAGCGCTGGTGGAGCCGCATATTTTACTTCATGTTGGATGCAGCGGTAGTGAATGCTTTTATTCAAATGAGTTTTATAGAGCCTGTGGTTTATCTGCAGTTCCGCTTGATACTTGGTCGCCAACTGGTTGCGCAAAACACCTTTAGAAGATCAAGCGTTACAATGAAAGCTCACCACAACAAAAAGGGGAAAAAAAACGGACGTGCTATGAGCGGCGTGCCCGACGAGCTTCGGTTTGCCGGAAATGGCCACCATCCGAAGTTCACCGGTAAACGTCTGCGGTGCCGGTGGTGCTCCACACAGATGAAAGAAGTTCGCAGCAAATACATCTGCATAATGTGCAATGTGCCCCTTTGTGTTGCGTGTTTCGGCCCGTTTCACTGCCGACCATGATTTGCCTGAAGTGGATGGTGGGACATACCCGGTCCCACTTTGTGAATCTGCTGGATGTGGTCTGTGGGACATACCCTGTCCCACTTTTTTCTTTTTTGTGAATGGTGATTTTAATTCCTGGTTTGTTTTTTGTCTAATAAAATCACGTCAGAAAAGCATGCGCTAAAAGAAAATATTGCCTACTTCTTTTATTTTGCCGTGTCCAACAAAGGGTTAAAGTAGTCCCCTTGGGACTCCACACACTTCTCCTAGCGGTTCCGCCATTGTTGGAAGCATTCTGAGAAGGCCTTTCAGAATAGAGTTGAGCTCAGCTGTCGTTGCAGCCATTCTGTTTTTCGTTATCTAAAAATCGCTTTCCTTTCAATGTCCTCTTGAGTTTGGAAAACAGCCAGAAGTCGCAGGGGGCCCCATCAGGGTGGTGTAAGGAGCCTGTTGAAGTATAGAAGTCCGACTTTTCGCCAAAAAGTCTGAACCAAGTGTGAGGAATGTACAGGAGCATTGTCGTGATGGATGCGCCAGGTTTCTCTTGACCACAAATGAGGTCTCTTGCGCCGCACAGCATCACGAAGGCAATGGACCACAGCCCTGTAGTACTCTTTGGCGATCGTTTGACCCTGCGTTGCGCACTCGTGGTGTACCACATTGCGGGAGTCAAAGAAAGCACTCAGCATCCCTTTGATGTTGCTGCGCACTTGGCAGGCCTTCTTTGATCTTAATGACATGGAATGCTTCCACTGTGACGACTACTTGGCAGGCCTTCTTTGATCTTAATGACATGGAATGCTTCCTCTGTGACGACTGAGATTTGGTTTCCGGTTTGAACCCGTACACCCAAGACACCAGTGATAATTGGGTTTACGAAGTTAGGGTCACTGCTTGTGAAATCCAGCAGTGAGCAGTTTCGGCACAAATTTCCTCGCAACTTTCTTCGTGGCCAAATCTTCAGTCATAATGAAATGTGCAGAGAAAATGCTGATGCCCACCTTTTCTGCACATTTCCAGATAGTCAGATGACGGTCCCGCATCATCACAGCATTCCCTTTGGCAATGACATGGTCATTTCAGCATGTTAATGGTGGATCGGAGTGTGACTGGCTCTCCACCGACGTGCGGCCGTCTTTAAACCGGTTGTACCACTCCTTAATCTATGTGAGGCTCATAGCGTTGTAACCAAAAGCCGCCTCGATTTTTTGAATGGTTTCCAGTTGGTTGTCGCCCAGTTTCTGACAAAATTTGCTGCCTTAGCGCTGCTCCAGTCGCTCCGTCATTTTCCTTGCAATGAAAAATCAACGAGACCACAGCGCACTAGCTCACTCAAACACTGCGTCCCAGCTACTGACGCTATTGGCAAGCGGGGAAAAATTCATGCATGTGCACGAAGGTTCAAGGTTGGCAGATGCAAGTGCGCTTTTTTCAAATTCATCAGGTGCTTGCAAAAAAACAAACAAAAAAGTAACGAATACTTTTTTAACAGACTTCTTATGTGAGGACTGACTAGGAAGCTACGATAGTGTGCGCAGATTGGAGGCAATGCGGAGAGACTTAGTGCTGGATGAAAGTGATGGTAGTGAGTGCAGTAGGTTCTCAGTAAATGGAAACCTTTAAAGTAGAACAACTGCTGAAGGGAACTGTTTCTGTTATGATTAGTTGCATAGTTGTATTCTGTGTCCCTGGTAATTGGAACTTTCTCAGTAAACAGAACTCTTGTTAAATGGAACATATTTTGCTGATCCCTTCAAGTTCCGTTTAATAAAATTAGTGTATGTCCATGCCTTCCTACGGAGGGTTATATCGTGGCAGGACATTAAATTGTGTGGATGTGGGTATGCAGTATGGTTTTCCCAATAGCTTGCTGAAACGTTTTGTTCAATTGAGCATGGCGGGATTGGGGAGTTCTGCGATACTTGGGTGATCTATAGCCAATTCAGGGGAGGGCGTGGAAGGTTAACATGGGAAATGACATGAGCCATCTCATTCCCTTTTATACCAGAATGACTAAATACTACCTATTGCCATACACCCTCCTTTCTATGTTTTTATGTTGCTGGCGCATTGCATGTGTAGATACTGCAATAGTGGGAAATCTACGCCAATTGTGCCAACTGGAAACCACTGCACCATACTGCTCCAGTACGGTATTTTTTATCTGATTTGCGCCATTCC